TGTCCTGCGGAAGACATGAAGGCTGCGCGACAAGGGGTATTTCACAGGCTGGCGTTTCAAGGGGTATGTAACAGAGCGCTTGTGGCGCGGAACGCGACAACCCCCTTTTCGGCACACCCCCATATGTCTATCTCGGCTGTCACAGGCGCATTCTTTTCGAAGAGTCTCCTGGTCGCTGGCGGCACAGTCAACATCAACAGCACATGTGCTGGTGCACGTGGAGGCGGCCGCTCGAGATGTTATCGCATGCTTCTGAGCGTGGACTTATGCGCATTTCTGTGCAACTGCACGCCACTGGCACTGTGTGTTTGATGTTGATAGCCCTGCCATGCGTACAGCTCAACTTCTGCCTGTGAGACATGCGCCTTCAAATGCAGACTTCTTCCACAGGATCATTTCCAACATTGCCTGTGCTCTCAATGCTTGGAACTTCCTGATTCTGCTAGCGGTCGGACAATCACGGAAAGCAAATGTCGGTAGTCATTGCACAGCTCGTGATGCTTGGCAACAACGGCGCATGCTGAAAGGCTTCGCTTGTCTCGAATGGTCAGATTTATGCAGACGCTGTGGGCTAAGCTAGAGCGGCATAAGTCCAGCAAGCGTGTATAGCTTGCTTGCTGATAAGTACAGGCAGTGTCTTTGCGGAGAACATCACAATCTCTGAAGGGGTCTTCGCTATCCACAATGCGTCTGCTGGTTCAAACGGAGGGCCAGCTTGTTCAGGCATGGTCCTGACAAGCCGCAGTTACCGAGATATTGAAATTCTTCTTGTTACCACCAAGAGGTAACCTAAACCTAAACAGTTGACAGGAGGCTTCGTTCTTTGATCTCTTTGTACGATGTACTCCGTGCAGCACAGCCCGACCTGTGGGCAGAGCAGAAGCTTGAGGGTTTTATCACCGTTGCCGGCCAGCCGCTCAACCACTTTCAGAAAATATTTGCAGGTGAGCTTTCCCGGGCGGGGATGGCGGTGAGCTATTTGCATCCTTTCTGGGTCTCCTCCTGCTAGTGGCAGAGGCGTTGCGGATAGCAGTCGTCGGAGCGCAATCAGCTGAAGCGTCGCTTGTTTACTGAGCTGATCACGTGAAAGGGAACCCTGGAGACAAGCATGGCGTTCCATGACGCACTACATCGGCAGGCGCAGTCGGTTCAGAGCACATCATTATCTCTGGCAGCGACATCAGCATCACCAACACGTCCGCTGCGGACGGAGGCCTGGCTTGGCAGTGCGGCGTAGGTTGTTCGCAGTCAGTTTTGTTGGACCTAATAAAGCTGTTTTGTCTGTCTGAAGGTTTGGTGATTTGTAGCAACTGCTTGATCAGATGCAGTGTGAAGCCACGCACCGGAACAGCTTGCTGGGCACTGGAGCGATGGAGCAAGCGGGACGCCTTCTCTCGTGTGAATGAGCACGTGTTGGCAGATTGCGATCTGCCGTCAGCACATGTCAGCACCATAGCTTGCGGCTTGCCTACCTCTGCAGGTGCCTTTGAATCCAACAACATGAGCATCGTGGGTGGCCTCCTGGCCATCAACGGATCCACGGCCGAACGCGATGGAGGCCCAGCACACAGTTGTGCTCATGGGCTGGGAAAGTCGACATTCCTGCACGCAAGCATTCAGCATTACATTTACCAGCCTTGCTGTTACACCTGTGGGAGCATTCAGCAAGAAGAGGGTCGACAAACACCAGTGCACAGCACATCCTTCAGCCCTCAGACTTGCTTCGCATCCTCAAAATGAATTTAAGTTCAGAAATTCGGACGGTGCAGGGAATTGTAGTGCAATCTCAGAACAGCCGCTTTTCGACCCCCAACCCAGTCGACGGGGTTTTCAACACGATGCCACAGCACTGGTAACTTTTTGGGCCAGGGGCTGCTGAGTCACCTTCCTGGCAAATGCCACGATTCAAAATATCTCCGGATGATATAGGGGAGTATATTAGGGGTTATTAAGGCGGGTACTAGGAGTTTAGACTATAGTCCACATCTGCTTCAGCTTTCATTTCCGAAGGTGCCCAGTGAATATCCTGTAGGTCTTGCCAGTCAAGAGCTGTGATAGTTTGCTGGGTGCAGAGCTTCCGCAAAAAAAATTCCCCACGTGCTGAGCAGTAAAGTTTTCAACAAAAGTCGGCATTCTGATGTTCATCGGATCGACAGCGGGCACGGGACATTCTAGCGTGAGTTCATGGCTTAACAGGTCTTGGGTTAACCTGCACCCGCGCAGGTGCGATTTCATCGGCCAGCCTGACCATGGAAAATACCTCTGTCAGCATCCGGAACACTTCTGCCGGACGGGACGGAGGCCGGCTGATGAGTAAATTGGAAGATGCTGTGCAGCTGAATCCCTACACAGCAGATATACAGCAGCAAGCCTCATAGTTTCTGAGCTCCTGAGCGAGCATAGCTTAAAGGCTTGAGGTCATGTTGCATCAAGAAGACCGCCTGCAATAGTGTAATTGCATGCAACACCATTGCCGGCTCCACTGGCAACGAGCCCATTGTTTCCTCAAGGCTTCAAGTTCTGGGGCCCAGCTAAGATCAATCCGGGTGCACTGGTGTTTGATGCCTTCCTGTTACCGCTTGTCGTACTTGTGCCACATTTGGAGCAAATATCCCACCGACCGTGCGGAGGATCTATTTCATCAAGGGAAGTCAGCGGCTCCACCAGCATGCTCCACATCAGCGGGGGCGTCTCAGGCCATGAAGGAGGCGGGTGCAGGGTGATGCTAAGGCAGCTGATGTGCCTGCATGGAAGAAATCCCTGCATGATGTGTATTCTGAAGCTCTCGTGGGCGCACACTGAAGTTGTTTGGTGCAAGCATCCTAGGCCCTAAGGGTCCAAGTACCTAATGATGGGTCCAAGTACCAATTACTAAGACTATTCCCCTAAACCCAATGTACCTAATTATTGGGTACTTGGACCCTTTGGGAGAGCTTTCGAAAGGTGGCATGAGGGCCGGACACCTCGCCTGGCATGGAGGGGCTTTGGTCATGGATGGCTGTTCGGCTCAGCTGTTCGGAGGCTCTTTCATGTGAGAATCATGATCACCTTTGGCATGCTGTATGCAACAGCGTCTTAACTTGACACGTGTGCATGAACAATTGCCAGAAGGACCTTCCGGATTTGGGTGGATAGTTGAAACTTTGTGAGGCTTTATGCTGAAGATTCAGATTCGAGTTTCGCCTAGAATTGGTGTTTGACGCTCGTTCTAGGAGGCGAGCTTTAACAGCTTACGCTTGTAGGCAGTTCAACACAGAAGGTGAGCTTTTCTGCTATCGGAGGCCAGCTTTTTTGAGCTTGACAACCCCGGGAACCGATTTGAGTAAGCTGCCTGCAGGCTTCGGAAAACCCAAGTCAGCCTTTGGCAGGCTGCGTCTTCAGCGACCATGACCTCGCCTTGGACGGCAAGCTCAGCTTCGAACATTGCCGCAGCGGCAGTGCCGGTGGCGGCATGTACCTCAAAGGCCATCTCAAGGCAGACAGCCGGATCTCTTTCGCAAACTGTACCTCCCAGATGGGAGATGCAGTTTACGCCGAGGGCGACATGCGACTGAAGGAGCTTGAAATGTCCGGCTCAACAGCGAGCCTACGTGCACCTGGCCACATTGCAATCGCATTGCTGAGCTGCTGGGATGCCCGCATCTGCTACGCAGAAGGGCATGCGTCCCTGCAAGTAGCAAATGCCGTTTGTCCGCGTGGAACGGGCTTTTTGCCAGACGAGCTCACAGAAGCGGGGCAGGGGTGCCTGCCATGCCCAGCCAGCACGTTCCGAGTATCCGGGCTGGCTCACAACTGCAGCCGCTGCCCCACGATCCCCGGAGCAAACGTGGGCTGCACTGCCACCAAGCTTTCGATACCAGCTGGGTGGACGGTGCAGAGCTCAGCCGGCTGCAGTGCACACAGGCTCACACAGTCAGACAGCCAAGATGTGAAAGTTTTCATGAGGGCTTGAGCTGCATAGCAACTTCAGCAAGGAACCCCTATACTATACTGTACATGTACAACCACATATGTATATATGACTACACCTATGTCATATCGCATATGCATATGTCATAACCTATATACATCTATATTCAGGTGGATTCATCCAACTATTCGAATTGGGCCCGTTGCCCGGTCACTTCGACGTGTCCTGGTGGCCTGCTGGAAGCAGGCTACGAGGCCAAGGCCTGGGCTCAAGAGCCAAACCAGAATCCCCATTTGAACTATA